TCCTATCTCCTTTGTTGTTGTTGTTGTTGTCATCGGATGGCCGGGTACCCGTGTATCGCAAACAATCGATTATGTATCGAAAAAGTGACCCGGCGCGGCGTCACACAGGAGTCTCGGAATTCGGGACATGGAAAATGCTTAAAAGTGGCGCCAGCTCTCCCACTTACATTACGACTCTATGTACTCTATGAACTTAACACTCCATGCAATAAAAACTATTTTACCCATGCACCTAAAATTTTCAGGTTAAGTTCTTGACACTCTTTGCGAAAGAATTCTGTAAAAAGAATGTCCCAAGGTACACACGTTCTTTTGCTATGATACATTGTTTCCACAAAATTTTAAATGGCGTTTACGGCGTTTTTGCGTTGCACGGCAAAATTTAGCGATGTTCCCGAAATTGTATTTTGACGGTAGCCTCAGTTTCCGTCTGGCTCAAAAATTCTTGGTGTTCTGATACGTTTTTTGGGCCCTTTCTTTCAGGTTGGGCCCCCTCCAACTAACCTAAAGTCCTCCTTTATGTGGGTTTTTCAAGTTTTGGGGGCCCCTACAAGCAACCTACCGGGGCCCTTTGAGCCTAACATCAGAATTTCTGGGTTGCTAAAGCACCCTATACCCCTGACCATACCGTTCCTGAATAGCTAACATTTGGAAAGACAGAAGCAAAACGCAATTTTTTTTCAGTATGGGACGATCAGGGCCGGATGGCGGCAAATTTTTCATTTTTTTTTTTTTTTTTTTTTATAAATGTAGGAATAAAAAAAAATTGGATTCAGAAAAAGAGTACAAACTAGAAAAGGTGACAAAATCTCTCATTTTCTGAGCGTATAGTAATTTCTAATTTTGTCGTCTTTCCGTGATACGAGAGACAGGACCTTTCATTTGTTGAGTTAAGAGATCAACCATACACGCAATTCGCGGCCTGGAGCGGCGCTGCGCAGGGAGCAATGATGACGAGGATTTCCTGAGATGAAAAGGAGAAACCCTCGGCGCGGCGCACAGTGTGTCAAAACCCCAATCTAGCTGCTCAAAACCTCTTCACGTCTCCAAATTTGGTCGGATAACCACCAAATTTCGCACAGGCATTAGTGTAAGCTTGAAGAAGGTTCACCTAAAATTTTAAAACTTAGTCATCAAAATTTTCAAAATGGCGGCCATCTAAAAATCATGTTCAACTCATGTAAAAATCGTAAAATTTCAACTAAGTTTTAGGCGCCTTATGTGACCTGATGAACCCCAAAAATTAGTCAAATTGTGTTTTCCGATCCAAAATAAGGCCTGGAGGATGTCTTGGGCTTATGCATTCCACTTCAAAATGGCGAATTTCTCATTTGGCCATCCAAAGAAATATGAATTCCATATTATTAAAATGATACGTTTCGGCAACTCTAAGTGACAAGTCAAAGATAATATTTTCAAAACGTTTGCCTGGAAAGGTAAATTTCGGCGAGCCCCCCCCCCCTCCTGTTCATTTTCCTACGTTTCATAAACCATGTCCGAAACCTTCCCTCATTAGAAATAAATAAGAAAGTCTGTTTCGAATCATACAAGAAACTTGTTAAAAATACGATGCAACTTTGTATTTATGAGGACCCCCCCTCCCCCCTCCATGACAGTATAGACAATGGGAAAATCGTAATGAAAGAAAATAAAATTTTAAAAATTAGTCTGCTCGGGATTTGAACCCCGATCACGCAAGGTAATAACGAAAGAAGCGGTCAACTGAGCCACCATACATTCTTATCTGATTTCGTGAAAAGCCTCATGATAAGGCTCACTCAAATCAGGGGACCGAGCGCGCGTGGTCAGATGCTGCCTCCGTCTCAATTCACCTGTGACAGAATGTAAGGGGAGATTGCATAACGCCACATGCACGCTTTTACACTAGGAATCGCCGAAGAAAATGTGTTCTCACTCGCAAGGTCGCGGAAGGTCGCAGTAAAACTAAAGATATTTCAAATCTAGATAGTTTTCTGAACACTCTCATATAAGTTTCATGGTGTTCCGTGTAGTTCCGCGCTTTTGCGGCTCTATTCAAGCCAGGAAAAGTAAACGGTCTTGAGCACTGTTTTCAATGAGCAATTATAATACTTAAATAATGATTTTGGAGAAATCAACGGTCATATTTCCTTTCTCTGGCCTTTGGCATCTCGTTTCATCCAGACTTGACCCTTTTTCGCCACGAAGTACTCTAAAAAAAAGCAATACAGTGGCACCGCTCCTGATGGCGAGATTGAGGCTGGACGTTTACCGGCTGCAATCCCTGTCATTTTAGCGACCAAAAAATTTATTTTTGTGATAATCATGATAGATACGTAACCAGTGGGTGCCTATGGACCCACTCTGACCAAAAATAACACCATTTGTTGACTTGATATAAGGGGGGTTTTGAGCAGCTAGATTGGGTTTTTGACACACTGTGCAGCGGACTGAATTTATGAAAAAATGATTCAACCATAAATAAGTTGAAGGAAGTCGGCCTAAAGTTCTCGCATAAAATCTTAGGTAAGGCGTTCACGAAAATCAAGTAAATGTTTACCCCGAGTTTTTGTTCGTTTAGGTATTTGTGATTTCAAACAACCCTCACAAACATATTCACAGAAATTTTTTACAGCCAAATCCGAGGGATCCCTTCCTAAAGGATAGGATCGGTCGAAAATACGAAACCATTACCTAGTGGAGCCGCAAGTGGATTTCACGAGGCCTCAAACATTTCGGGAGGCGACCCGAGAAATATTTACGACCATGAGAGGAGGTCGGAGCTGGTAGTGAATGACCCCGCAAAGCAACAAAAAGAGACCGGACAGCGCCTAAACTTTAAAGAAATCCTCCTTTGTTTTTAAAAAATTGAATGATTTAAAAGGCTCAAATGTGTTGAAATTTGGTAAATCCTCAGGTGCAACGCTAAAATCGGAAAAAAGTTTCATGAGAATCGACCTGATAGATCTCCAGATCTCCCTGATATAGGAAATTGCTTCTTTTTTTAAATACATGGATATGTATAAAAAGAAAAAAATTCTGAGACTTCCCATGTACACTTAAATAAGTCTGGTCAAAAAGTACAATCCTACATTTGATTGTGAAGGGTATTTCCTCTATTATTTGTACATCTAATTATCGACAAACTTTACCTGAAGTCTCAATCGAATGCGGAAGAATTTTCCACAATCCTTTTAATTATAATTACGTACTCACAATCAGTAACTCATTCACATGCTTAGGTAAGTAAGTAATGTGCCCATTGACTTCAAAATTTTAGGATTGAGGCAATTTTAAAGGATGATCAACTTTTTTTCTAGTTGTCGATTTCATTGAGATAAACTCAATGTAAATTTAATTTTTCAGCAGTCAGAACTTGAGTGGGTATCTCTATCAATATTAACTTGCAGATTTCTTTCACATCCCTACCAACGCAGATAAATTCCTTATCATTAAGTAAATATGATTTTACTTTTTTTCTACCTTCGTCTGATAAAAAGTTGGGCCCGTGTGATACAGACAAGAAAACACAGCAAATGGATGAGAAGTAGATTTGAAACGTGAATTTTCCACTCTACTGACAGCGCCAATCTGATGGAAAGTTGGAACGAAATATTCCAACTGACATATCACAGCTGTATCTTTGAAAACCAGAGGCTGACAGAGGTACCTGAATTCCGATGTCCGGAGTTATTACAATGCCACACAGCAACAGTAATTGAATCAAAATTTTTGGCCACCAACTTTCCATTCAACTTTTCGTCCCCTTTGTCCGGACTAGAAGTTTGATCGTCCCAATTGGAACACAGCAAATAAAAACCAGCATCCTGGTACTTAATTATCTCAAGATGAGGGCGCATTGTAATCTGATCTTCTGCTTGGTCTACCTTTCGAAATAAGATGCACATCAAAGATGCAACTACCAGAGCACATATCTTGTTGGTGATGTTAAAACATCTACGCTCTCATTTTATTTTATTGAAGGAGAACAAATCAATACCATTCCATGAAGTTTTCACAGTTTGTTTTGCAGAGAGGAGAATTATTGGAAGTTTTCAAGAATTGGCATTGAGTAATTTCCTATTTAAAAATAAAGTGTAACAGGTAATCTGCATCAACGCAAACCAAGATACATGGTCTGGTAGTTTTTCCGGCGATCTGTAAACCTTGATATTTTACACAGAATATAGGATTCGATAATATGAGACCCACCACTCTGACTGGAACCATTCGATGAAAATTACTTTCTACATTCTTCATAATTATTGTGACTTCAAGATGCGAGAGATCAGGAAAGTGCATGTTTTCTAGGTCAGTTGCGGTGCAGTATGGATCAGCAAATCCGCTGTTGAATTAATTAGATCGTGGGTAAATAAAGTAGAAAGCAGTGTGAAATTTAGCATTTCAATCAGTGGAAAAGTGGAAGAATATCTCTGATCTAACGAATTGCATCATTAAAGAGGGAAATAAGATGGAGCAATGAGAAGGGAGGATCTCACCTGTTGCGTGCCAATTTCACTATTGCTGGGAATGTGTCGTTGGTACACCACTAAAAACGCGGACCCTAACACTAACACCAAACAGGTAGTTTGTAATAGTTTCTTAAATTTAAACATTTTGGAAGGATCGAGTTGAAACTCTCATTTTTTAACATCACTTCACCACGCGATAGCACGCATTGCACCGTACATGCTTGATTACTTCATCCGAACGTAAACAAAACTACTGATAAAGAATCCAACGTTTTCAAAAGTTTCGTTGTTTGGGGACTGCGAGTCGACTGAGAACGCCTAGAGAGCGCTAGTTCCAGGACTCTCCCACCACTTGCCCCCTTTTCGTTGAAAAAACATGGAATGCAGGTTTAGCCGCTCTCTATCGAGCAGATCTGAAACTAATACAAATTTTTAGTGTTTGAATTGCCCGCTAGATGTCAGTGTCGCTGAATCAGTCATCTAATCAATCGCTTTAATAACTCTGAGTCTGAAAAAAAAGATATTAAATCAATGGAGTTGCTGCACAACCGCTGCTGATGATTTAAGCAGTGAGTAATCTCAACTGCACTCGTCTAAAATTTTGGCCAGCTCCCATCAAAATTCAAGGCCCCAATCCGGATCTGACCTACATCTCACCTCGCAAGGTCATTGGCTGCTTACTACGAAGTGATAAGAATGTTGTGTAAATAGAGTTATAGGTTAGGTTTGGCAGTTAGTAGTACGGATTTGTTGTGTAGTGATAAGAAGTCATTTCCTTTTAATAATTATTTTATTGTTTTAATTTTTGTTCCAAAATGACTGTGAGTCAGGGTGTCATTAGCAACTTCAAAAGAATCATGAATACTTATCCTTTAGCAAGAGGGATGTTATCCTATTCAATAATCTGGCCCTCAGGATGTGCAGTACAACAAGTTTTGATAGCGGAGGAGGAGAAGATAGATTTTGCTCGGGTAGCAAGGTTTAGTCTTTATGGTGCTCTTTACGTTGCTCCCACCCTCAATATATGGCTAACAATTGCCCGACGAATATGGCCCGCCAACAATCTACGCTCAGCTATAACGAAGGTCAGTAATACTTCCTCATTCATAGAAGGTCAGCCAGTTCTCACAACAAAAGGGACAATGGCTCTCCTAGACTGAAACCCTTCTGATTCCTCTAAAGTATTTAGCCTTTGTGTGTGACAATATGTATAAATGAAATACCTACTGGTCTAGGTACCATGGAATGCTCTATACATATAACAATTATGATTAAAAAAATCAAGCAAATCAATTGCATGAGAAAATCAAGCTGATTTCACTTGCCTCACATCAGTTCAAATCTTCGGTATTGGGCAACAGTATTATTGTACAGTATGCGTTATCTAAATTTGCCTAATTCAAACTCATTCATCTTATCTTATCAAGCTGAACTGTAAAAATCAAACTCATTATGCAACACAAGCTGGCGGAATAAATTTTTTGAGAACAGCACTCTAATTAAACTATCAATAGGTTCTCCAGGCTCTGATGAAAACTACACCTTTTTTTATTATAAGAGAAACTATTAACTTTTTACATTCAATGTTACTGGCATAGATCATGATGGAAAAATGAATGACCCAAAGTCTAATCTTGCCTGATTAATTTATCAATTCAAAAATTTGAAACTCATTTCTTCAACACGAATACCATTGTTCTTAGAAATTTTTCTTAAAACTATTCTCATGTAAAATGGAATAAGAAAAATAAACCATTCTAAATTCAGTCTCTTTACCAACGCAGTAGTAATGTCTTTTGCACATAGTTGTTCATGGAGTCAGGAATTATGAAGATGTCATGTCTTGAAATGTTTTGGCCATCTTTGCGCAGCATCATGTTATTTTCAAATACCTTGCACAATCTTTCTTGTACCTATTTAATAAAACTCCCTTCTCATATTTCCATGGTCTGTTTACTTACTTATTTTAGTAAATCTATCATATAGTTCTATGTTTTAAACAAATTCTTTAATCCATGTAATCTTAATGTAAAAGACTGAATACATTCACATTTCTTACAGTCAATTGTAGAGCAAATAACATACACGCCCATCGCCATGACCAGTTTCTACTTCGGCATGACTTTACTGGAAGGACGAACGATCGAACACGCTAAGAATGAAGTGAAAGAGAAGTTCTGGCCCACTTATAAGGTAAGTATCTTGTAGGAGCACACATATATGATGATTATATATTTATAGCATTTTATAGCATGATTACATATTTCTCAGCAACAATTGAAGTCAATAGAAATGTCAGATGCACTTGATAGCAAATATCCTAGTACTTTCTAGGAAACAGAAATATTTGGGAAAATCTACCAAACATAATTTTTATGTTTGCTTCATAATCTGAACATCCCACCCAGTTTTTCTGTTGGGCTAAGGTTTTATTTTGCTAGCAGTTTTTTCATACTAAACCCTTTACTTAACCAAGGTCAGATTTATGAAACTGGGGTTTAACTGATTTCACCCAGGTCTTTTTGAGTTTTATTTCTTAAGGAAGAACACAGATGTCACTTGTAAGAAAGAGACAGCTCCTAAGACCCAGATTTGATTCATAAACCAAGGTATAACCAGATTCGGTGTTTAAGTGTGGGAAGTTTTTTAATATCAGATCTTTCGAAGCCCCCTCAAGGACTGAAAATTCAAGAGATGGACAAAAAAGTATTGGAAAAACCAGCCAATAAGGAATAATCATAATTTCGAACAGAAGCTCATTTTCATCAGTGTGATGAAATTCATCGGCAAGTATTGATCATCTAGTCTGAAAGAAGAATGCCTGAAGCACAATTTTGTGAGGAATCTTTCAAGTACAGTAATTGGTTAATTATTCCACTTAACGGTGTTTAATTTTAACCACAGCTCGACGATAGAAAGCTTTGTAATTTATGTTTCCTATTTGAATAAATCAATTAAATCAAAACAGTTCATGTGTGTGGGTCATTAGAAACAATCTGTATCAAGTCAACAAGTATAGACTTAAGTAAAGGAGTGTTATAAAAGAGAATGAATTCTGTAGGTACTCATGTAATTTGTCGAACACATTGTATAATTTTACTGCCCTGAGTATCCTAGGCCAATTTTTATACATTTTTTATTTTTGCTTTTTATATTCGATTTTTCAATTTTTTATACATATATTACTTATATAATTTTTTAAATATTATTTTTTTTATCTTTCATTTTAGGATTTTTGTCCCTATTTCTTGAGGTAGAAAAACAGTTTTTTAACGAATTAGAAACCTTGAGAGTGAAAGGAAACTCCTTTATAACCCTCTATTTTCTACTTTACATGCTTCTACCCTTCTCAGTTGTCTTCACATTCTTTTTACAAACTGAAGTCACATGATAACACAATCGGTTTTATATCTCTTTTACAGGTTGGGGCTTGCATATGGCCAGCAATACAAACCTTCAACTGGACTTACGTCTCTGACAAAAATCGCATTGCGTTTGTCAGCATGTGCAGTTTTATTTGGACAACTTTCCTGGCTTACATGAAGCATCACTACAATGTACCTGTTGAAAAGAGCCAAGCTTTAGTTCCATTAGATAGATAACGAAATCTCCTCCATGTTGAGCATTTTGCATTTTTTTTCTTCTCGCTTTGGAAGGTAAGTGCTTACATTTTTAGGAAAAGTCTACCATGCTCTTTCTACCTGGTTCCCAGTACTTACTACAGATATTATTCTAAACATGATTTTCTCACTAATACCATGGAGCCTCGCTCCTCGGAAATCCTTGCTGTAGTTCCACAGAATAATTTTCTGTGGAAGGAAGGAGTACTTCTTCTAAATGATCATTTGCTAATTTTACTTTTTAGTGAATGGCTAGTTTTTTTATTTGCACCTTGTTTTCTCATTGCTTTTATTTTGCAGGCATTATTTGTTCTTAGCTAGTATTGCACCTATTCATCACCAAGTGATTGATTAATTGATTGATGAGTAAGATTCCATGAAATATCAGTATGGCTATTGAAACTTCAGAGAAAAAACATTTCTCATGATACGTTTAAACTTGCGAACGCCGGTTTTTGGGAAAAATCTCGGAACTCATCAGGAATTATGTTTGTTTTCTTCATTGTATTTACAAGGTGTCCATAAACATTAATATTAGGAACTCCACATATCTCAGGGAAAACTATGGAACGATTTCAATTACCTTGAAAGGAATTTGTCCGGAAAAGCAAGTGTTTTCCATGTGCATGCAGAGTTGAAATGTTCCGCATTCAAATTCATTCCTTTGTAAGACTTCCTGAAAATAATGCGAGTTGGTTTACAGAATTAATCGAAGCGGCCCTAGTGAGCTCAGTAGAAAATGTTGCCTGCAACTCTTGACTCACTTATCTCTTATTTTTTTCACCCTTGACTCGATCTAAAAAAGTTATCCTTTTAAATTTTTTACGAGGAAAGCTCGCTCGTATCGGAAAAGGAGGGCACCCCTAGATTCGCATTTTGGAAGGGGTCCCTTCTCAAACCATTAAGTTGCTTCCAGCCCCCCTTAATCCTATGCAATTTTGTTGTTCAAAGGTTTAAGAAAATCCACTAATGTTGTCCCCTTTTTTCGGTTTCAGGTATAAACAACATGGTTCTATTCTTTGCATTCGAAAGAAGAAGGTAATCACATAAGATTTCGTGATTTTAAAGTTCCTATTCTCAACGTCCTTTAAAGGAAGATGTTGGAGTTTGTGGGATGTGTGTCATCAATCTTGTTCGGTTTGCGTATACTTTGAATCTAGTCACTAGGCTTAGATGGAGCTTATTAGCTAGGCTTTTGTTCAATTTTGAGTTTTTTTTAAACTCATAAGTACTTTACATATACAAACGCAAAGCGTTGTATGGAAGCAAGTAGTGGATGGGGACGTCTTTTCATCTTTTTTAGTTCTGTTTAAATTGAGGACCTATTCAAGATGATTTGAAGGTCTCCCATCTTCAATTTAAATCAATTTAGATCGAAAGGAAAACTGCCAGAAAGAAAAAAAGTTTCTCATTTCCCAGAGGTATATTTCGTTATTTTCTTTCAGACTTATTCAAAGTTTGAAATCAGGGGTGTAGAATCTTCCAATTTTCCATGATTTCACGTGCCCACCCAATGGCTCTCCATAGTTTTCTCTTCACTTCTCCACAAAATTTCCCTCCAATTCTACAGTGATGACCTTTTTTTTCTTGTTTCCTTTGATTTCTAACTTTTGACCTCTAAATATTGTCCCCCTATCCACATTTATAAGAGCTTTTCATATTTTAACAAGCCTGGGTGAGCATGTAATCGAGCATTTTCTGCACCCTTGGTTGAAGTTGCTTAAATAACTGTGGAAAGCATTCAGTTTTGGCAAGCACCAATGTTAAGCATTTTTGGCGCAAATGAAGGAGAATATCACAAAGTTATTTTTCCAACCTCAGTATTTTACACAATGCACGTTACTTTTTTAGAATTCATTCATTGTTTTACAACTTTTTTTTGGTTGTACTTCATTCAGAGGTAGATTTTCTTAAAGGTTAAGTAAGAACCCAAGTGTTCACAGTGATAACTTCTACACGATTCGTCTTAAAAGGGAATGGACTGATGCTGCCATCTTAAAATGAATAATGCTAAAGACTTGATCTCATGACAGTCAATTTTTGACCAAATGAATAGTCCTGGTCTCTGTTGATAGCTCAAGGACCGAAACGTTCAATGAGGCCAAGCTGATTTCTCTGCCATTATTAGTTTTAAAATAGTAGCACCAGTCTACTTTATTTTAGAGCGACCTATGTATTTGTATTTGACACCCCATTGAAATTGACCATACGTTATTTCTTTCTCAGAAAATCTTTCTAATTTTTAAAATTCTGTTTTAATTATTCACATTCCAGCCCCATTGATATCCTTTTGTACATAACCTACATATTTTATTGAAATTTAAAGGACCACACTCAGGGGTTGGAAAATTCTCCAATCGTCCCAGCAATTTTGGATTATTTATCAATACTTTTTTCTAATCTCCGTAAGGAAATTTAGAGAGGTATTTTTGTTTTGTATTCAGAATCTGCAAATATTGTATATTAATCTTTAAGAAAAATTAACGTTCAACGTTAGGCTTGACTGTATCATTAGAATAACGTTCAACGTTAGGCTTGACTGTATCATTAGAATCTTAAAATATTGGCTGTGACTGCATTTTGTCAGTGAAACTGCAGGGAAGCATATCTCAGTTTGCGATATTGCTGACTTCATGTCATATTTTATTTTCTAAGTAGAAAATGACACAACACCATTTTTTGAAGCTTCAGTGATTTCTCTTCTCTCTATCAGTACTCTAGGATCAAAAGGTACCTTACTCCATTTTAGTCATTTTGAGATATCGGGGGGAAACTGTCGGCCTCTTTGATTCCAATGTAAATCGCAATTCTTGAAACTCCATATCTGATAACTGGCATAAGATAGGGCCACCAAATTTCCCACACATACGAAGCTGTTATTAGAGATTTCCAAAATGCCATTAACTTGATTTTTCTAATAATTTGCGTTAGGTACTTTATGGCTCTGGAATATGGATAGAAAGAGAAATCTAAAGAGTTCAATGTCAGTCTGGTCTCATTTGATACATTAAAAGATGTGCGAGAATTTTGAAACACCGCAAACAAGATGCGCAGTCTTGCCGTTTTACTGTCAAAATGCGTAAAAGCAAGAGAAGCCCTAAAGGGATGTTTTAGTATGGCTTAGAGTTGATGAGGATAAACCAAATCATTCAAATTTTTAAGAGTTGGACGATCTTCCTCTGGTTTGAATTAATAAATACCCTAAGTTTCTTTGAAGCAAACAGATATGAACTATCTGATATTGTCTAGCCTCAAAGTATTCACTGTTTGGTCCTGATTCTCAGTCAAGGAGGGCATCAAAAGAGATAATAGATTTATTTTTTGACAATGCTGGTGCCTAATGGCCTACCTCTTACCCATTTACTTAATGTCCCTATAACTCCTTTGACATTTTTGGGTGTACCCCTGTGCTATGCTACATAGTTAAGTAGGTAATTATTGTTAGATTGTTAAGTGGTAACGGAGATTGGGTAGGTACTTGAAGGTTTTCATGTTCAGCATAAGAACCATAGAATAATTTGAATTTAAAGAACGATCAGAACTGCACAAGGTTAGTGATTTTGCCAACAGTCAGTAAAATTCAGTATTAAACTGAAATTCTGATTAGAGAGAAAAATCTCATCTGAGCACACATTTTTCTGCAAAGAGATAAGTGTACTGTTTGGTGTGCCAATGGTTACGACCAATCAGGAAGGCAATTGTAAAAAATCACCAACTCAGTCCAAACAACTTGTGCCTTGGACAGCAACCTACTCGTCATGAGAACGTAGAGCATACTTATTTTTAGTTGTTAGCGTTGCGTTGTTAGCCATATCCGTGACACATTCAATCTCTCAGCAGTTAAAGATGACCATATGGAAATATTTACCATATCGTGCACAGTGTTAGAATATGGTAAACGTACAGGTTTGATTCCTACCATGTTTACTCCTCCATCATACTCATAGAAGATTCTGAGCCAAGTCAACTTAATGAAACAAAGGCAGCTATCATTGTTTTCTGTCATCATTTTCTGCTGTTTCTTTCAATGGACACAAAGCATTAAGTACATTATTTTGTCTCTTTTTTTTACATTTTTTTTTAATATCAATTTTGACAATTGGTATAAACGCCGAAGACAGCAATAATTTGGTTGTGAATTCAGTTTAGATTGATTATCATGTGAGATGTGTATTTAAAAATCTCACTGTAGAGACGAGCAAAGGTTGGATTAAGGACACAAAGAGTTCCATTACTCAAACAAGATGTCCCACGAAGATAGCCCCTGAGAGATAAGTTACCTTTCCTCAGAAATTAAGGGCGTTTTAGAGAAGTGTTACCTCAGATCAACAAGGGAATATTTTGAGCTGTGTACAAGAGCTTAACGTAGAACCCAGTGAAATGATTGTAACTTCATTCTTAACAATAAATCTGTTCCATCAAGATGAAACATTATTTTAATGTCAGATTAGTATAAATTAACGGTTAAAATAGAATACTATTTTCTATGAATATCCAACGTTACTCCCACCACTAACCGAGTAAGCCCCACTTTCCCTCAAAGATGGTTTGATAAATTGTTGGTTTAATGCTACTGCCTCATTCGAACAGTTGAAGTATCAAACCGTGAATACCAGAAAAATGTTAAATTCCGAAGATGTATTATTATCCTTTCAATGTTGTAAGCATGGAAATACCCGAGTCTTTGATAGCAGAATTGATCAAAACCCACCGTTCAAATTACAGTTGTCAAAGCAAATACGTCATTGAACCAGACAGTTTTATTTTTTAGAGGGAGCTTTGCAGAGTGCACGGCATGTACCTGTGTTTAAATTTGTAAATTATACACCAAATTAATCATACCAAAAATTTGTTTTAACATTTACTGTAACATTTTTAAATATGTGTGATTCCTTCAGTAACTATTATAGAATTTTTAAAATAATTGCCTGAATAGGTGGCAAAATGCAAGAAAGAAGACTGATGATAGCCGAATTTCACTAGAAATGAGAGCTTTCATTATTAACTCTAAGAAAAATTCTCTAATTTAATATTGTGAAAACTGAACTGATGTTTATGAAACTCTCGAACAATTATTGTTTTTGGATTAATAGTCAAGTCTACAAGACTGGCTGTGAACTGTGATATTTGTCATTTATTTTATAATACTGAGTAAGTATCCACAATCTTTAAGTGGCTTATCAGTAGCAGATTAATGCGAGTCACATCAAACCGTAAATCCTAAGATATTTTGGCCGATTGTACAATAATCATTCAAGACTCATGAGACAATTTGTCCTGGGTAAAAAAAAATTGATCTTCAAAACTTATGCGAAACTCATTAGGATTGTTTCAGCCTCAATATAAAATGAAGAGAGCTCTGAGGGGTTTAATTCAAGTAAAAGTTTAGAACCAACTGAAATAGCAATAATGTTCTAAGCATTCAGAGCTAGTAATTTTCTCTTCTTTAACAAATAGTTTGGAAGCGTCAAGGGTTCTTTTCTACCTGCCTTATATTTAAAAATATGTCCAAAAACTTCGTCAGGTAATTTTTATAAATTTTTGCTACTTACCTTTCATTTTTGGTTCAATAATAGAGTCAAGGAAGAAATGACCATCACATTGTGTATGGTCTCTGACTGCAATCAAAAATTTTGTCATAGCCTTTCCATGTCAATTCAAGGACAGTTCTGGCAGACACCTAGGTAAGACATCCAGTCTTTGCTTTTCAGCAAAGCTCAAGATTCTACTTTAAGTTCTGTCTGTTGTTCGATTTAAGGTGACTTTCACCATTGGAAACACACCTTTTTTTTAGCTCAGAAGTCCTTGCAATCCCCCTTCCTCCTCTCAATGACATTAAGGTCTCAAATGGATAGACCTTTTAACAGATTCCTTTCATTAACTCAATGTAAGATCATACCTATACTAGAAGTAATTTTGGTGAGCCAAAGGTTCGATGTTCAGTAGAACTAATTCTTGTCGTTTAGCTCCCTATACGGAGCATTCTTGTTGTTTTCAGGATTTCTGTTTTTCAAGGATCTTCTGATTTTGTTTCTTACTGTCTTATAATTTTAGATCATTTTCTTTTCAACTGATCTGCATCTGTTAAAAATTCTTTAATAGAATTATTGTTAACTCTCTTTGTTACTTTGCTTGTCCTTTGGCGATAAGTCTCAAGTAATTTGACAAATATTTATTTCGGAATAAATCATGTTACCAAAAATATCATGTTATTCTTTCATCTTGTTTTCTTTTTTTGGTACTGTCTCTCGAGGACGGTTTTTAATACTCCAGAATATCATATGGAAAGCACACCATGAACATAACTGAGTAATAATACTCTAGTAGCAACAGCTTCTAAAAATTGCATTAAAACTTCACGCGAAAGGAAGCTTTTCTTCAAAATACTTTTAATTAAAATTTGTAAGAGGTAAAATTTCAGTAAGAGTTCTGTAAAACTCATCAAAGATCTACGGTGGGTTATTGACACCCATTTAAATGTTTAAGAGAAGAGTTCAGAAACTTTTTTTACAAGATTCTACAACAGTTTTTGTGAGACTTCTGTGTAAATTTACTTGCAAACCTACTGGAAAAGCGTTTCCGTCTACATAACTTCTAGGTCTTTTAAATAATTTTGGAAGAAAGGTTTTCCATCAGTTGTTGCAACTAGGGAATACACTCAGCACTATGAATCAGACAGCTTAAATGTCCTTTCATAGAATAGAATTTGAGAAACAAAATGTATTTTTAAAAGGGCTTACTTTCAATTGTATTTAATGGGTTGAGAGAAAATTAAATGTTGAAGAATTTTTTCCCTCTGAAATGAGCATTTCTATTTTACAAAATGGTTATGTGACACATTATCAACATCGTCTTTAAGTAGAGGTGAATACACCTCCCTACCTAATATAGCTCTCTCACTCATCGATATAAATGGAGCATACATGTTGCAAGTCATAGAATAACTCTCTCCTCTGTACTAGTTATTTTACAATTGAAAAACATCAGATACTTATTCATCGGTGATCAAATTGAATTTCCTGGATTTCACTTTCCATTGGGGTAAAGAATACTTTTCAAACCCAAGCTTTGAGATCATAAGTTTTATTAGAGCACTTTATCTTTTAATTAATTAAGTGGCATCTAATAATGTCAGATTGCAGAAAAACAATTTCAAATTGGTTGCATGGGATTGCATTTCTGTAGAATTAAGAAAATTTAGCTGAATTAAAGTGTTCTTTTAATGAACTTTATGCAACTTTGAGTTCTCCCCTAAACATCACAATGAAGAAAAAATTGGAAAAAAAAGAAAAAAAATTGTAAAAGGAAGCTGAACAAAAAATTAAAAAGGAATTTTTTGATCTCAAGAATCAGCAAGACTTCAAGACTGAAACATTTATTAGTTAGAATATATGTACACAAATATTTACAATTACAAATATTAAATGAGTTGAAAACAAAAACATATCACGCTTTTTACAGTTGCAAAGAAATTTTTTAGCTTTCAGAATCATTACAAAATCACAATCAAGAGATTAGAGGAAATAAAAACAACCTAACATTAAAAAAAGAAAGAAAAAAAAAAATAATTATCTAGGTACAAGGTTGAAAAACCTAAAAAGCTGGAGATGCTTTTACAACATAACCTCGGTTTCGATTTCTAAACTTTCCAAGGTTATCTAAAATTTTTAACAAATTCAGTTCACATAGCCTTGTTTTTTTCTATTTTCTGTTTTCTCTTGATGACATCTACGAATCTGCAGACAGCACAGTAACGAGACCAAGATTAATCTAATTTATTCATAAATATGTCTCATGAATATAATTTTGACTCGCCTTGATAATTGTAGAGATGGGATAGTTCGTCAAAGTAGGTCATGCTAATGCATCAATGGAACAGAGAAGGGATTTAAAAAAATTCTGTATTTTTTCGGGTTTAAAAATAAGGAGTTTGGAGAATTTTAGTAAGTATAAAATGGTGATCCAACTTTCACTTTCTTTTCAAAAGTTCTTGATTTCAAGTCTTGTCATGGTTCTTCCTCTGATCATTTTTCCAGATACGGAGAGAGAGAAAAAAAATTGTACTTAGCTTTTCAGAATGAAAGAGTAGCAGAAAACATAGAAAAAAAAACTTTTAACGAAACGAAATTATGTACCAACTCTTGGGTATCCTTAGGTTTTTCCAAAGATCAAAATGTCTGAATAACTTGCTAAGAATTGATTCCTGACAAAATATCTATGTTAGATACATTTCAATATGAGATGCACCTTAGAGATTCGCCATTCTTTGGAGCGGGACTAATGCATCTGTGAAATGAGGTCTCAATGAACTGCATCAGACAAGCAGATGGATGTTGCAAAACTATTGCTTCGATACATATTGCTTGAAACAAAATAGCAACTTCTCCTATTGAGTCAAACTGGAAACAAATATACTTTAATTGAGGCAATCATTTCTAGAACATGCCTGTTCTCCTTGGCAATGCTAATAAAAAAAGTAAAAATATTTTTGGGACATTTAAGATTCTGCAATGATCAAAATTTTTAGTAAATGATTTTTCAGATTCTTCCCTTCTTCTTTACAGAAGAATCCGAGAGGGCTTGTATTCAAACATTTGTACTTTAAAAAGGAGAAAACCTTACAAACTTGGTACACTGCAGGGATGGATCATATTTTAAAAGACTCCTTTGATTAAAAAAATGAAAATCAGCACTAAAATATCCTCTGGTCAGTGGTCACTAACAAAATTGTTTTCTTAGAAAAGAAAAAATAAATAAACAAAATCAATTACTGTCCGTTCAAGAATGAATGGGGAGCCAAGTTGATATAAAACTAAAATTCTTCCAAGAATAAAGGGAGGGAAAGGGGATTTAAGTAATTCAACAATCTTCTTAACATCAAACAATTAACAATGACAAGAGTTACAGAAGATTAAGCAGGGTGCATGACTTAGTTCCTAATCATATTAATTAAAAAGAAATAACACTGATTGGTGGGGCTAAATCAATAGAACTAACAGAAAAAGGGGCTCCTTAGTCTTTCCCTCCCTCTATTTTTTTCTAATACACGGGATGAACAAGAATGAATACAGTAAAAATGAACAAATCACCCAGAAGAAAAAACGAGAAATCAAAATAACAATATTTACTGCTGGTTTGGTATTTCTGGTTTTTTCTTAATATATCAACTTGCTTCTTTACCTGCGATTTTCATCACGGCCACTTCTCAAAAAAAAAAAAAAAAAAACTTGAGGAATTTTGATGGTTTAGCTGGTATTGAATGAGGCAAAAGATCATAATAGGTAATATGAGATGAGACAATGTGAAACACAATGTCATTTGCTATTATGCTAGTTATAACTTAATAAAATGTTGGTTTTGATATTTAGACTTGGTGTGCATAACCGAGAGCATAAAATTTCCATGGATTATGACAGAGCCAATTTCGAAGTCTTACACCATGTCCAATAATTTTGTATTTTCCAAAAATTAAAATGATTAGATTAACTGATCATAGATTATTTTTGGTGGTAAAAGTTCTAACATTTCCCGAAACAATTACGAAAACAGACCTGGATTACAACAGCACAAGGTTGCGTCTTCCTATTCATTAATATAATGAGTTACTCTTCCTACACACCGATATAGTGTACTTCAGGTCTAAAGGTGTCCAAAAAGAAACCAAAAAAGGAGGTAAGTGGAGCATAAATCAAAAATTTATTTTTTCTGTAAAGTTTGTATCGATATGCAGTTACTTTAGAGATACTCACGTACACTTTGAAGATTTTTACTTTTCTCTCCTAAAAAGAAAGAAATCCTAATTTGCCTCTACTTTACTGTACACGCTAAACACTAGGAGAGAGGGGAATATTTCAGCTTTTTCAGTCTTTCAGCTCTGATTGCACAAACAAATCAGTCAGGTAACCTAAATGTGCCAAATATTCTGAATCTTTTCTTTCTAAAAGGAAAAATCAAGAAACTGTCTGTATTACAATCTGGTGGAATTTTAGATAGAATGATCTCAGATTGAAAAGTAAGACTTTTAGATGGTATAAGATCTTTGCTAAAGTCTGTACGTGAAACCCTTCAGAACACTTCAATTAATTCATTTTTTCTTTTTTGACTCACAATTCAGAATGACATTCAATAGAGGATGAAGCAAAATAAGCTCATGAAATAACTTTTGATCATGACATGCATTATAACAAGAAAAATAACAAACTTTAGTTAAATAGTTTCTCCAGGTGGCTGTTCTCACACACCAAGAAATAGTTATGGTCCTTAAGATCATTACCTACAAGAATTATGACACTTATTCCGAGGAAAAGGAGATCATTAAAAAGGATATGATTTGAAAATATAAAATTGCTAAACAATTTTTCTTCGGCTGCTTTTTTTAAGAATCAAAAAAAGCATTAAGCCATTAAAAGTAGGAGACCTCTGATTCAGATTCTCATCTCAAAACAATATATAGGCATTACTACCTGTGATGAAAGGATATCTACATAGGTTTTATCTATGTTACAGCAAAGGAGTGGCTAATAAAAAATCTCACCACATTTAGAAAAAATTATCTCTGCCTGGATGACAATAAAATATTACTTATTGCTTCTTTCAGCTAAAAATCAGTAACACAAAATACTCTCATCAAAACTTCACCAACCATTACTAAAAGCGAGATAATTGGATTGGGTTTAACTTTAAGGAGCAGAGCAGATAATTCTATCAAAAGATGAGTGTAATTTGACAGAGTTGGAGCAAATATTTGAAGAAAAGAAAATTGCGAGCCACACAGGGAGGTAGAAATGATGACCTTGTGTACCCCTTAAACTTCTTCTTTTCAAAGCTTAACTGATAAGACCTGTTCACTTATCTCAGTTTAGTTCAAAGACTCATTGATGAGTAAAAAACTAACTGTAATTACCTGCAATTTTGGTTTTTTATAATACACTCTTTGAATTTACATTGAATTGCTCTAGCAAGGTTAGATTATGGGTAGAGAGATTTATAAATTTGATTTGTGAAACTCAATGGCTTCAGGACATTTTTCCTCCCTCCTTTGCTGAGAGTCAATGTTTCATAAATCAAACATTTAAATTCTCACGACAAAATTTGGAAGTGAAGGAGAATGATGAGAAATTTGAGGTGAGATAAGACTTCTTGAAACAGAGTAAAATTACAATACTATTAAATATGTTTTAAATGACAAGCCTGGAGAAAGTCATAACATTTATATGCTTATGAGGGCAGTTGTGATTGATGGTTTTTGCCAAAGATTGATCAGATAAAAAACAAACTTTCAAAGAATCAATGTCTCATCAATCTTGCTTAGTGGAACAATTTAATTTCATACTCTTTCGAATCCCATGAAACTCATTTAAAATCAGGACATAAAAAATAAAAAAATCTTGAAACCCTAAATTTCTTTACATCGGTGAGTATACCTGCATATCAACACATTATGACTCTTTTGCATTAGTTTAGGATAAATAAATTGACTAAATTTTAAATACATGGTTGTTGTACCTACTTGTTTGTACACTGATTAAAATTTCATAGTAAATTACTAAAAAAAAATCAGGTCTGAAAATGAATGAAGGGGAAAAGATATCACTTCGGTACACTGTTATCTATTTTCTATACAGCATTACTCACCAAGACATTCAAAAAGTAAATTTCCGAAAATAAGCTACAGGGCTAAATTCTTAAAAACATCACTGTCTGAGATTTCAACATTTTAAAAATCATTTCCAAAGATTTTAAAATAAGTTAACAATCCGTTTGGCTACCTTAAAAAAAGACAAAATTAAAAGGCCAGGCATACGAAAACGAAACTTTTTAGTAAAAAAGCTTCAAGCCGACGCCTCCCTCAATCTCATTCGGCGAGATGGGAAAAATTACAATTAAGTAACAATCATAATTAAAAATAAATTACACGCAACGGTTAATTAAATTTTATGAGATCAATTGCAGTGAATCACTGTGAAAAAGATTTTTATCCCATACTTTTGCGCACTAAAAATTGTGTCTACATCTGTCAGAGTAGGTCTGTAAGACACAACATCACATTATACCCAAGGGAATTTCAAATAAATACAATAAATTAATTAATGTGATCAGCTCATGTCGGGTACGACCTGGTCGAAATTACTGCTTGTGCGAGACTGATCATTGCCTGAGGAAAACCATGGATGTAGTAGGACATCGGAGGCTGTGAGCCTTTCATTCGGGTTCAGCCGCAGAAGGCTGGTGATGAGACATCTTGCCCGACAGGATAGAAATTCTGGGATAACAAAATGCCCGCGACTGATCTTGAAGAAAAGGCTTGCGTGCTGACTATCTGAGAATGGATACCTGCAAAAAGGAAAGGTGTGTATTAGCTCCTGCTTGATGTACAGAGAATATGATAAAACGTTTAAAACTTGGTGCGTGCTATGAGTGAACCACTTGACTCATTAAGAATTATGAACTGCTACAATCGTGTTTTTAATACAGAGTTCACGCACAACACATTGAGCATTTTTTAGGTTCCACAGAACAGATAGGAAATTTTTTCTGACTTTTCTACCGACGGTAATTAAAGGATTTTTTTTAAACTGCGACTTCAAGTGCTTTCATGTGTATTGTTTTTTTAAAAAAATCTTTAAATGAGTTATTTGATCGTATAAATCAAAGACAATTCTTCATGAATATCTTACTCTAGGTATATAATACATAAAATCATGGGGATAACACGTAACGCATGACGTCTGTAAGGCGCGAAGCGATCAGACGGCATACGCCCCAGTCTCACAGAAATTTACAGAAAAAGTCATTACTCGAGTATATGTACTTTAAAGTAAGATTTTCAAGTAAGAAACAACGTTATTTCTAAAAGTACGCGTTCATGTGTGAAATTTTTACGACTTGATTAAAAAGAAGATCAGATCACTCTCTTCATAAAAAATCTTCAGTTTTATTTTTGAGGTCGACGAGCTAGAGATTTTTTCGTCTGATCCCTTGTTCATGTGGCATACGATGACTGATTTCGAAGTCCGAGAGCAGACGAAACGAAAAAGTAAGAATGACTCACCTGCCAACTAGCATTGTGTAGAGGATAACGCCTAAGGACCACATGTCTGCGGCTCTTCCTGAATATTTTGCATGAGTCCGTAGAATCTCAGGACTAACGTAGGCGGGACATCCTCTCTTATCTCGGAGTACGTCATCACTTGATTTTTCTAACACTACGGCATCTTCAAAGGTTTCTAACTTCAACTCCGTCCTGAAACAAACAAATCCAGCGATTTAGACTTTAGGTATGGCAAAGCAATCACTTTTAAGGCATATCAATTGAAAATGTACACTACTACGGAAGATTTCACTTGGTACAGGAAGTAATGAGGATAAATTTTGCGGCTGTGATCGGGTTTGGGATCTAAGAGTCTGGTTTTCATGCAGGAATAATAAAAAAAAAAAATGTTTTCGGGAAACTTATGAGAGGTAAAAACACCGTAAAAATGCAGCAACGGAGCTGGATAATGAAAGCATGTCTCCGTACATCGGTGTACAATCGAAGACGATTTTTTTTTCGGGCAACTTTGGCCCCCTTCTCCTTCTAGCATTTCAAAGTTGACCTTCTTATCAAGAGATAAGCAATTTCCTGTACAACTTTGGCCCCCCTCCTCTCATTCTCTCTTCACTTTAGACTATTTTCATCAATTTTACGGCTTCAATAATGATATTTGCCCNCTCCCACAAAAAAATAATTAAAGTTGACTATTTCTGCAAAAAATGTTACGCGACTTTAATGAATTTTAGTGCATTACAGGGGGATCTCGTAGGTTTTGTCCCCCTGCCACAATCCAGCAGATGTTACCTTGAAGTGGGAGAAACTTTCGAAAATGTTGATCACTTTCAGTGTTTCAAGAAAAATTGTTGCATCTTCCTTCCCCAAAATTTTAAAGTTGACCGCTTCTACGAGAAATTGTGAACGATTCTAAGGAATTTAAGTGCATTTGAGACGAATCTTGAACACCAC